GTATCCCATTCTAACTTAAACGAATCCAAAACAACTGACCCGCTTAGGATCAAACCCACCACTACGTAAGGACTTCCACATAACCTTCCTGGGATTCTCTAGGATTTCTCCAACACTTCTCCATGACCAAAGAACTTCCGCATAACATCTCCAGGATTTCTTCGGCAATACTCTAGGAATTATCCAGGAATCCTCCAGGACTTTTTCAGGAGTTTTCCATCACTTCTCCAGGATATTCCAACGACCACCCAATTGACACGCAAGAAATTCTCCCTGACACAACCTAACCCGTCTTATAACAACACAATATTATCTAATGTAAACTGAAAAACCTACCCTTACCTTACTTAACCTAACCTAACCTAACTCAACCTAACCTGTAACAAATCAATCTAATCCAATGTAACCTAAATTATTAAATCGCAACGGAAACTAACATAATAGAAATGCGTACGATCAAACTCATTAATACTTAAGGACTTCCACAAAACCGTTCCAGAACTTCTCCAGCAATTCTCCAGGATTTCTCCAGCAATTCTCCAGATTTTTTTCCATCTCTTCACAAGGACGTCTAAACAACATGTACATGACCCTTTCGACATTTCACAAAAATTTCTCCAAGAATTCTCCATAATTTCTCCAGCACTTCTCCAGAGCTCCTCGATGCAGACTTATTTACACGTCACAGAATCTAAAGTAGGCCATGGCTGACGCATTATTTGCTGTGGTTATCACTACGTAATACGTGAGCAGTAAGCTACAAGCAGTTCGGTACTTAAGGATATCGATTTTTAAAGTTCATAACCAACATAAAAAACAGACCACTGATTGCAATTAGGACACATGGAAATAAAAGCAAAATTGTGACTTGTCCTTTTTGTACCGCGACTGTCCTGCAAGTAACAAGATTACTCTTATCTTATCGCAAAGCACTTTTAGAATCAACAGGACAGAGATGCTGCAGCTTCCACGTCTTTACGAGGTGCAGTGCAGGTTAGGGTTTAAATTTTATCCTCCATATTTCTCCCTTGCTTCAATTACATTACCGAAGCTAAACTGAAAATAAACGAATGTGGTCGAAGTCTTCTTTCCTTTTTATGATTTAGTTTCGTGTTTTTGTTTTATTTTCGGAGTCTTGTGCAACTAAATATTACAAAAATACTTACGCTGGTTTCGCCTTCTCTGTCTCTCTGTCCACATGTAACTACTTTAGAACCATGGAACAGATTTAAATTTGATTGGCTGTTTGGACGTTTTACTAAACTCTTTTAGCAGATTTAAGTTTTGGTTAAAATCGGAAAATTAACATAAGTACTTTACTTGGAAACTTACAAACGTTTCTGCACGCTGAAGTTAATGGATGGAGAGTCCCCACGCTAACCCTTGGCTACCATGAATACTTTGATTACCATTAATATGATGGTTGGGCTCGACGTCGTTATCTTGGACATGAACTTTAGCTACTTATAGTAACTCTAAATCTCAGATGTGGGCTAACTAAACGTCTCTGACATTACCGTCCTTGAACAAATTCTTACCTATCACAAAGCAAACAAACTGCGTAATAAATCAAATCAATCCATTTATTAAGTTTAATCAAATAACTTCACGAAAAGGATATTTGTGTTGCTGTGAGAATTTGAACTGTAAACCTTGGTTATTCCTCTTACTTTTCAAAACGAAATTCATTTTATGAAATAAAATTCACATATAAAATGTTGCTGTAGTTTTTGGTATTACCGTTAATTTTAAAATTATTTTAAACAGTGGAGGACGGGGTTTGAAACCCAGGCATAATGGTGAACTGAGCCATTTTAAAATACGATTATGGGTTCAGTGAGTCACGAAGTTGCGTCTTGCCGCCGGCAACTCCCATCCCCATGGCAACTGAATTTTAATGTTGTCAGTCATTTTCCCCGATTGCAGTTTCACTTTTCAAACTAAACCGAATCTGCCGCATGTTTTAGCGACGTGTGGACACTGCATCGTGCCATGCCCACGGATTGTTAACAGCGGAGACTGAGGATAGTTTATCGAGCAGTCGATAGGCGATCCGTTATGGGCCTCATAATGAACGTTTAAGAATTACCCGAAAGCATAAACTAGAATGATATGCCTTGTGTATGCCAAGTTCTGGTGCGGGACACCGTTATTTTAGGTTATTTATTTAGTGTTCTGTCTGACGACAGGTCCATATGAACAGGATCCTTCCATCCTTTTCTCGGACTGGGACCTGTTCATATACGTTCTTGGCAGATGATCCAAAAGTGGTTTGCCATTGCCTTCTTCTGCGTGTGAAAGGAGTAATTGTTGGGATGCCACG